TATTGTCTTCTCTTTTGGCTATAGACAACAGTTGCCTAAGATTAGGATGAAAAGCACTTATGATATACAAAATAGTTAATATTGAATACATAAGAAGTTACTTTTAAAACAGACTAGATTTTTTTCCAAATATATTTATTTACCACATTCTTCACATATGCAATATTTTTCCATCTTGTGTGCAGATATATTTTTTAAAGTTTAAAACATGAGATTAATGTTAATACAATACATACTAAAAGTCATCACACAATGATTAGACAAACAAGGACTTGCAAGGAGAGGAAGGAAGAATAATTCAGGGAAAGAGCAAACAAGAATTAGAGAAAATGTCTTTAATTGTAGAAAATCCTTTAAAAACAACTTTGGGTTTCTGTGACCTTCTGCTTATCTCAGAACACTATGGATGAGTACTTAAAATGGAGAGGTACAGAGAGAAAGCAGCTGCACTGGCCCAACTGAGAGAAGCTTAACTCCAGGCTCATTTCCATCCAAGAATTGGCACACTGGCACAAGAAAATTCAAATTATATTTCTGAACAACTAGGTGCATGAACTGCCTGTTTCAACAGGTTTTAAAAACAAAGTACAGCTACCACTTCATCAAGACAAAATTCCACTAGCTTGAAGGTCAGCACTCCATTGGAAAAGGCAGAAATGTCAACGTAATAATGTAAAAATAAGGATCAACATTTAGGAAAAAGGAAGACATAAAAAAAATAAAAAATAAAAAAAGGAAGACAGAGGCAGTATTAGATTTAAAAAAAAAAAAAAAGTATCCCTTCCAATATTAATCCATTCTTTTTCTCAAGTCCAAATTCCCTGTTAATTTCTTGCTGGGTGCAGTAGTGCATACCTGTAGTCCCAGCTACGGATGAAACTAAGGCAGGAAGATGGCTTGAGACCAGGAGTTCAAGTCACCTAGGTAACAGAGCAAGACCCCATCTCAAATTTAGAAGAAAAAAAAAAATACTCTATATAAGCATTCTTTGCACTCTTAACAGTTTTATTAAGCATTTAGATAGATTTATGTAGATTATACAGCTTTCCTACTAATCTAAAGTTTAGTAACTATTATTGTTATTGTCTACTGATTTTCAAGTAGGCATTAAATTTAAGGTGGGGAAGGGCTGTACTCTCCTTGCTTCAGCCAGACTAGTTGTAGTTTATCATCTCTGTAAACCGGGCATATCTGTAATATTTTATTTCAACAAAGGTTTTCAACACTCAGCTGATAGTGATGTTAAAAATGAATCAAATTGCTATAAAAACTTCACTAATGGCATTCACAGTATTCCTCAAAATGTTTATGTCCCAGTCTTTAATTTGAGCTAAAAGCCTAGAGATAAGATATGTGAAACAATGCTGAAGACACATCTTAGCTTGTGTGTGTAGTATTAAATAAACTACATTAAATTTTGCACAAGATTGTTAAACTTCATTAACAAAAAGTGTGAGCTATTTTCCATTAAGAAATTTTTTCTGCCTTCCAAGACTATAAGCTTTCTTTGCACTGGTAGAAATGAGTTCTCATTAATGTTTCCTTCCCCTCCATAAATTCTAAAACTTAGCTATAAAATAGACACACTAGTTCTAAACATTTAAAGTAATAGCAGCAGTACTTCCTTTTAGAAGCTTGCTACCTTATAATGCTAAAGCAGATAAACCTGATAACAACATTGGAAAGATGGAAATAAGAGCAAGTGCCTGTAACAATCATGTTTAAAATGACCAGGTTAATTCCGTCATGGGAAAATCTATCAAAGTGCAGCACCAATTCGCATTATCCTGAGGGTCTATTTTAAAAGACAAATACAAGTGCAGCATTTGAAAAACCCACCCCTACCCCCGCCCCAGATACTGGGGTTGAACTCAGGGAGCTTTACCACTGAGCTACAGCCCCCGTCCTTTTTATTTTGAGACAGTCTCACTAAGTTGTTGAGGGTCTTCTTGAAGTTAATCTTGAATTTGTGATCCTCCTATTTCAACCTCCTGAGTCCCTTGGGTTACAGTGTTCATCACTGTCCCTGGCAAGAAAGAGGCACATTCTTAAGACACCAGTAGGGACCTGGGTTTCAAATTTAGGGAAGGAAAATAATGAGACCATATGTCTACCAGGGATAATGCTTTGCAACAATTCTGTGAGGTAGTTGTTATCCCCATTTTACAGATGAGGAAAATTCTGGCTCTGATAAATTAAGCAATTTTGCCCCAACTCATGTTGCTAATAAATACTGGGCTATCTTAATCAAAAGCCAATTCTCTTTTTAAATCACACTACTGGTTTCAAACTGAGTATGCTGGGGTAGGAGAGAATGAGTGCACCAAGCAAGAAGAGGTCCAGGCCCACCATCCCTTTTTCAACCTGAAGGAGCTCTAGTCTATTGGTTTTATCTACTGGTTTAAGAGTAACATTCCAAAACTGAAACAAAAGTGTACTGTATCAGGCCACCTCATTACTAGTTATGTTAGTTTCTGTGATAATGTCACCCCCACCCAACAAAACAACTGGACTTAACTCAAAATTATACCCTTACAAAACAAAGATTTCTTTACGTGAGAGGTATCAACAACTATTACATCTTTTTAGGGATATAGACAAAAAATGATAAGTGTTTTTTTCCAGTACTGGGAATCGAACCTACGGTGCTCTACCACTGAGTTACATCCCCAGCCCAGTTTTTTATTTTATTGTTTTAGTTATTGATGGACTTTTATGTTAATCATTTATTTATTTATTTTAATCATTTATTTGTGGTGCTGAGAATTGAACCCAGTGCCTCATACATGCAAGGCAAGTACTCTAGCACTGAGCCACAACCCCAGCCCGTTTTTTATTTTTCATTTTGACACAAGTTCTCATAAGTTGCTGAAGCTGGCCTCAAACTTGCAATCTTATTTTTTTAAATATTTTTAGTTGTAGATGGTGGACACAATACCTTTACTTTGTTTATTTAGTTTTACATGGTGCTGGGAATCGAACATATGCTAGGCGAGCACCCTGCCACTAAGCTACAACCCCAGCCCCCTGCAAACTTATTTATTATTTTTTTGCAGTGCTGGGGATCAAACCAAGGGTCTTGAGCATGCTAGACAAGCGCACTACCAGTGGGCTACATCCCCATGCCTACAATGTACTTTCTTGCCGATATTAGCAATTTTTACCTTGCACATATTGAAAAGGGGAAAAATATTTTCCTTTGCTTCCAAATGTTGTAGTTACTATCAGGTTAAAAACAGATTCAATTAATTATCTTATAATTGAATTCTAATATGGGATGAACAGTTTTACGGAGGAAATTTTAGTACATTAATCCACCACCAACAACAAAAAACAATTGTTTTCATTACCCAGGATTCAGAATAAAAGTATCAACACATTTATCCCACACATAAAAGGTACTAAAAGACCAACTTAAAGGTCTAATGAAAAATTAAATGCTGTACACATACTAAAGTTTTCTTGTATTACCACACAAAAATCATGGTTATTATCATTAATACTTCTTACAGAATTCTAAATTCATTACTTTTCAGAAGAAAAAACAGTACCATTTTATAACTTAAAATAACTTTACTGCATTAGCAAAATAGGAAACAAAATAAACGAATCTTCCTGAAACATGTTAGCTAGAGGTTTTAGTTTTGTTTAGCATGTAGATGGTGGTTTAAAGAAAAGATTTTTGCTAAAAGTAGCCAGCAGTAAGAATCTCCTTTCAAAAAAGTGGCCATTCCTTTAAGTACTAATGTGTTTCTGTGTTTCTGAATGTTTCTCAGTACAGCTGGCATTCTAAACACTACAATCCTATACGCATCATTAATTATTACTTAAAATCTCAGGCAGAAAAACAAATCACTACTAAAAAAAAAGGGAAAGCTTTAAAAAAAAAAAAAACTTGACCAGTCCAATACAGTATTCAGAATTGCTACATAACAGAGTCCTCTTGCAAGAATGCAAGACTCCAGTATTTCACAGAAATGCACAACTAAGCATTTCATTCTCTTGCTTCAAAAGATTGGCAAATTCAGAACCAAATCTTAGGCCAGTCTGTTCCCTCATTACATGTAGTGGGGTTTGGTTTTGTTTCTGGGGATTGAATCCAGGGGTGCTTTACCACCAGCCCTTTTTATTTTGAAACCAGGTCGTAAGTTGCCCAGGGTGGCATTGACCTTTTTTTCCTCCTGCCTTGGCCTCCAAGTTGATGGAATTACAAGTGAGTCCCCATGCCTGGCAATCCTCATATTTAAAATGCAGTGACAGATTCAAGTAACTGATTCATTTTAACTTTCAAGAAATATTTCAGAAATTACAAGGTATAGTACTCTTGTTAGGGGTTATGGTCCTATTACATTACTTCTTAGAAATATGCAGAATAATTTTTTAATAACTTGTTTTGAGGTGAACTTGTGTCTTTTAAACTGGGTCTTACGTTTGAAAACTGCCTCAACTCATCTGATTCAAAGGTATGGTAAACAAAATGGGATCTTAAGCTGGAGACCTGTGGTCCAAACTAGGTGTGACGGTTAAGAAACTCCACCTTATCTTCTTGTGAGATTCAAATGACTGTAGAACAGTGGTGAAAAAACATCCGAAAAGATATCCCAAAACTATCTGGATATCAATAATCTCTCAAGTGGCTGCTCCAGCTAACAATAATCATTTGAATAATATGTAAGTCTCACTTTTGGGGGGGTAGAAAGTTGAACTATATGGTATCTGATATCTCTTCCAATGTGCAAACTTTATAAACATAATAATATTTCATACATACAAATAAAAACATTATTTTACACACCACATTGTATTAGGAATGAGTATCTTATATCCTGGAAATATCACATAATAGAGTACATTTCCTGGATAACAGTCACATATTTATCTAAAAATAGGCTACCATTGAGCAACTGCTTCAGAAGCCAGCTTCTGGATCCTTAATGATCACTTTACTATTAACTGAGGAGATTAATATTATGTTATATATGACTCGCTAGTCTGTAAAATAAGGGAAGTCACTGTTTATTAGAAAATAAAATAATTGCAGCAAAGGATACTTCTAAATAACTTCAAAGAAGTTATTACCTTAAAGTTAACAAACCTTCCATGTAATTGAAACACATCATTGACTCAGAAATTTTTTTTTAAATTACTCTGGAATCAAACAAAGAAATGTTCTTGTGCTACTTCTGATCCCCTCAAATATATACTGTGACTGACATAAACTCGAGAATTCAAGGTGAAAGGCAGCTAATTGCTTCACAATATTGTATAGAGAAAGAAAAACTGAGTAGATCTGAACTTTTAAAAAAATATAAAATGGAATGTATAACAAATTTATCTTTGGAAAATTGATATTTTTTTCTTTTCTACAAGAAATACCAAAAAAATCTTTATTTTCCTTTCTTCTCCAATTGCATGTTTAATTAAAATACCTTCCAACAACATGTATGAAAACAACTCTAAGCCAGAGATACTTAAAGTGAGATACTTCCTAAGTGTTTTGGCTAACTCAGTGGCCACACAAGTATGTTTAGTCTCTGATTGGATGAAGTGAAGGAATAAAACAGATATAATTACCAAGGCTTAAGCTGAGATGACCCAGCAAAAATCTGTCATTACCTCAGCTATAAGTCTCCCTTCTCCCAAAAAGGGGAAAAAAGTCCTCTTAAGCATACAAGATTCCAGTGAACTCCCAACAATCCAGCACCAGGAGAGCTAGGAATGGAGTGAGCCATCTGTAAAGCCTGGAATAGTCCAAATTATACAGCTGTCCCCAAATCAGGCAGAATATCCTATCTTCAGTGATGAGGATGGAAATAGTCCAGGCTTCTAAAACACATAACGGCAAGTCCAGGAACGTGGCCGGATATAGTCCAGAAATGTTGGCTATAACAGAAAAAAAAAAAAGAAGGAATGTTTTATTTGTGTATACCATATATATAAATTATGGTGGTGGGAGAGGTGTAATGTTATACAGTATACATCTCTAAATTGCCCCCCAGCCATTCAGAAACCTTTAAGCTATAAGAAACTAATACAAAGGTGTTTGGTATTTTCTTCTATAGCACCGATTTATTTAACTTAGAAGCTTCACATGAAGTCTCTGAAGTTCAATAAACTCTACACAATTACATGACTGCTGACCAAATTCTAAATAGGTACTAGGCCTTTCAGCACCTTGCCTTCTTATTTTAGCAAAATCCCACTTTGTGTCCTAAAATCAAAATAGTGATAGATTAAGGATGATAAAATATGTACACAAAATGACCATAATATAAGGTTTTAAGGTACTAAACTATTTAAAGGAGAAGCAGACTAAGTACTATGAAATTTTAGAAATAAGATGGGAACAAAAATTTGAAGAAGCTTCATGGAAAACAGACCTTCCAAATTAGATTTTGATAGGAGAATAAAATCTGACGTGGATTCCGAGTATAAAGAGCAGCATGACCAGGGTAGAGTCTAGAGTCAAGAGTGATTAGTTCAGATGCACACAGGGGATCAATAGGAAATAAGAAGGGAGGATTAAAGCTACATAACGGAGACAAAGTCTACAAAAAAAGGAACCATAGGGAAAGCTGATTAATTTTATTATAGATATCCACAGCTATAGATGTGTGGAAGATACACCCAGGCTAATATATCAAGAATGCAACCCCCCTCAAATTTTGGAAGTTATCCATATACAGCTAAAAAACAAGGCCCTAAGAATCAATGAAACCCGAATATAATTACAAAAAAAGGGGGGGGGGTGTGGAATTCTAGGCATATCAATGTTGTCCGGCATTTTTTATAAGAGTTTATTTGGGAAGAAAGAGATGAAAAACATATTTAGATGGTAGGGGCATACATGCTGCTGGGAAAACCCTGGAGAATACCTACATTTTCAGGAGACAGGAAGAAAATTAGAAGAAGCTGAAGAAAAGGCAGTAAAGGAGGGAAAAGAAGAAGAAAGAAAGGAAACCAAAAACTAGGAGAGTTCAATGTGAAGAAAACCCAAGAAGGAAGAAACTTCAAGGATAGCATAGAAGGTGTGATAATAAATGAGCGCCTTTTACTCTTTATTTCAACATAATCACAACTACCCTTCTTAATATTGCCCACCAACCCTTACATCAGAGGTCAAGGAAGTTACTTTTGCATTCTAACTGAATTGAAGACTCACATTTTTCAGAGGACAGTGCTGACGTGCATACCATTCTTGAGAATAAAAGCACAAAATGACTCCATTGCCCAAGAAAAGGGAAGCCCACACCATAATGTTCCAAATTGGCCTTTTCCGACTATCATTAACAATGAAGTTGAATGCCACTAAAGTTAGAAAACAAAAATATACACACTTATCAAAACATAATCCATTAGTGACAAAAAAAAAAAAATCAGGAGATGAGCAGCCTCAGTTATGTGCTGCAATCATTTAATCATTACACTGAGCATCAACAGTTCATATATGTATTTTATTCTGGTCATTGGTTCTATAAATAAAAAGGAAGCTTGATTGTCTAAATTTAATAACCAGTAATCAGTAGGAAATCAACAGTATCTAAAACATGAAATTATCAGCATTTTAATTTTTTCCTATATACCCACTCAAAAAATGGTCAGTTTCCCAGGCAGTGCATGCTGATAGTATGTATGAATCAGGAAGTTGTTTAGATAGATTTCATGTTTTTTCAAATTATTGTTATCAATGGTCCTCAAGAGATAAACCAGTTTATTTCTCTAACTTAAAAGTGTAAACACCTTGAAACAGAGTTTTGTACAATTACTGAAAGCCATTATTCTGATATACACTGCCTTGAAATGGTCATTACTATTCTCTCATTTTTCTATATTGATTTTATAGTTTCCTTCCTGATTTTCTCTTTCAGCATAATACCCAGGATTCAAAACATGCCAAGATACTCACTTCCAAAGAACATGAAGAGCACGAAGAGCACTGGATAGAAATAGCTCAAGCAAACAGCAAGGGCATACTCATGCACTACAGCAGACATGGCAAAGACAGCCAACATGGCAGCAGACTTGAACCTCTTCGAGAAAAACTAAGGTACAAATATGTAAAAGTAACATTTTAAAATAATTTTTAAGTAATTAAGCATGAACCACATAAGACATTATCATATGCTAAGGGCACCTAGAAAATTTTATTTATACTTGACTAAGTTTACTCCTTGGATTAACCCAAATCTATTAAAATCAATACAGAAAACATGCTCTTAAACACTTGTTTTATTAAAATGATGCATTTTCCAAAGCATTAATGTTCAAAGATCTGGATTACTTTCAAAGACATTAATTTTTAATTAAATTAATTGAGCTTACATTTGTGAGTTACCATGGCTAACAAAACAATTTTGATATGTAAACAAAGACATCAAATTTCAATCTTTAGAGCAACGATGTACTGTGAAAATAGGGCAGGCATCCTCTCTAAAGCTAAAATTTAGAAAGGAGAAGGGACTTGCCTCATCCCATATGTGAAGCCACACATAAAACAGAACTAGCACTCAAATACATTACCATTTCCACCAAAGAGGTTGTCACTTAAATGATCCCCTTATTTAATAATAAAAACTGTAATCCATAGATTCTAGTGTTAACCAGAAGAGTTAAGATTACATTTCAGCAGCCAGGCATGGTGGTACATCCTATAATCCCAGCTACCCAGGAGGCTGAGACAAAGGATGGCAAATTTGAGGTCAGTCTTAGAAACTTAGAGATCTTGTCTCAAAATACAAAATAAAAAAAAAGATGTAGCTCAGCGGTAAAGTGCCCCTGAGTTCACTCCCCACTACCACAAAAGAAAAAAAAATAATAATTTCATCAGTCTAAATACATTCTACTACAAAGAATGTCTCACAGACATGTGTCATTGATGGGAGAGAAAAATCCACACACAGGTATTTCTTCATTTATAACAAAGAAACAAAACCAAATGAAAAAGAGCTAGAAGGAGACTATTTGTTGGTAAAGAGATTCATAAGAAGCAATCCATTATTGGTGATTATGAGCAATTAAGTATAACTTCTTCCCGCCTGGACAATATTTTGTAGGAAAGGATCTCCATTTTTTAAATAGCCTGAGCTAACTCTTGCTGCTTACCCAGAGAAGGTCCTTGTAGGCATAGTAGTATAGCCAGTCATGGACCACTACATTCCAGGTCCTATAATAGTTAGAGTATGATGTAGAGTTCCACCAATCCTGAGGGGGAAAGTAAAGGTATAAGATTACATACACACATACACACACACACATACCCACACCCACACCCACACCCCTCTAAAGCAAAACCCTGGAATAGTCCCAAGGAACATGCAAATATGACACAGAATCAGAGCATACTCTGAAAAATTGCTAGTCCATATACAAACATTAGAAAAATCTTAAAAGGCGGGGCCAAGTTTGTGGCTTAGTGGTAGAGCGCTTGCCTAGCATGTGAGAGGCACTGGGTTCGATCCCCGGCACCACATAAAAATAAAAACAAGTAAATAAAGGTATTGTATCCATCTACAACTAAAAAAAAATTTTTAAAAAGAAAAATCTTAAAAGGTATTATTTATTAGTGTTTAGTATGACATTATTCTAGTGCTACATATGATTAAGTCTCTAGAGTAATTCTGTCTCATTATCAAACAAGTTATGATGGAAAAATACAGAATGATTTAAATCTCTAATGTTCATTTAAACAGCAATTAGTAAACCCCTGCCCATCTTGCTAAAACAATGAGAGAATTAAAAGGTCACAAAGACTAGATTGAGTGCGAATATTAAAGAGTTGTTGGGGCCAGGCATGGTGGTGCACGCCTGTAATCCCAGTGGCTTGGGAGGCTAAGACAGGAGGATCACAAGTTCAAAACCAGCCTCAGCAATTTATCGAGGCCCTAAGCAACTCATTGAGACCCTGTCTCTAAATAAAATACAAAACAGGACTGGGGATGTGGCTCAGTGGTTTTTAATGTCCCTGGTTTCAATCCCTAGTACAAAAAAAAAAAAGTTGGGGGTGGTATATAAAGATTTAATTACACAAGAACTGACATGGTACTTACTTCCAAGTCCTGGTATTCCTTTGTATATCATTTTAAAAAATTTTTTTAGTTGTAGATGGACACACTATATTTATTTATTTAATTTTTATGTGGGGCTGAGGATGTAACCCAGTACCTTACATATGCTAGGCAAGCGCCCTACCACTGAGCTGTAACCACATCCCTTCCTTTTTATATGTCTTATTCCCAATTTTAAGACCAGACTAACAGAATCAGACATCTAAAATTTGCAACACATACTGCAAGAAAAGAGCAGTAGACTTGAGGGTAGCGTTGTGGATCACTATGAACCACTCTGGCTACAGCTTAACTCCAACTTCAGAAGTATTAAGAATATAAGCAGAATCAATACCTTTCAAAGTAAAGAAGGGAAAAGTTAATTCCCTCATAAACGGCTAATTTACTGAGGACTAATTGACTGAGGTCACTCTTACAGAATAAGACAGCCAATTTCAAATGAATGAACAGTCAGGGGAAGTCTTATATAATGCCCTTGGGACAAATGCTGTCCTACCATAATCACCAATATATCTTCAGAGGATTCAGCAGAAACCACACGCTATATTATGGAAGCAGATGTTAGAAGCAGAAGATGGGGCTATGTTAATTAACCTGTTATCAGAATTTCAGACTTAATACTGGTAAAATTTGTGGAAAATAAAATTATTTCACAATGTTTGAATCAAAAAGCTGGTTAATATCAGCCAAAAGTATTCAAATACTTAACAATGAGGAAATAAATAAAATAGGAAGAGGAAGATGAATCCAAATGTATATTACCTTATAAAACATCCTGTCACCAAAGCGTAACATCTCAGCAAAGGCATTAAGCCAGCAGTGCAGAAAGGCAAAAAAAGCAAGGAACAGTATCAGCACACCTAAAAATAAGATTGACAATATGAAGAATCTTTCCAAATAGCTCACATACCAAGCCATTAATTCTACATCATTTGTTCAGCCGGAATTATTCTGTAAAATATAAATTGTTATTCTAGTTTACCCATCCCACAGATGAAACATATACTTTTTAAAATATATATACATTTTTAATTTTCAGTGGATCTTTATTTATTTATGTGCAGTGCTGAGAATCGAACCCTGTGCTTCACACATGCTAGGCAAGCACTCTACCACTGAGCTATGACCCAGCCCCTGAAACATTTACTTTTAAAAGTTAATATTTTTTAACATTTATTTTTTGTAGCTGTACACAAGAACTTTTATTTATTTTTATGTGGTGCTGAGGATCGAATCTAGGGCCTTGCACATGTGAGGCAAGCGCTCTACCGCTGAGCCATAACCCCAGCCCCCAAAAAGTTAATATTTTTTTAATTTTAAAAAGCAATGACTTCCTTCCAAATGGGTTTAACAGACAATAGATGACTCAGTCTATTTTTAAGAAATATCTTGATACATGGCTTAACTTGGTATCCAGGGCCCCTTAAAACCTAGCCCTCATGGGGCTGGGGTTGTGGCTCAACAGTAGTGCATTTGCCTGGCATGTATGAGACACTGGGTTCAATTCTCAGCACCGCATGTAAATAAATAAAGGTCTATCAACAACTAAAAAATATATATATTAAAAAAAAACCCTAATCCTCACGATGTCCCCCTAAACCAACTATTTAAAACTGGGAGATTTTGTTCCCTTTACTTTGGTTGTCGCAACTGGAGGAGTAGGGGTTGTACCACTGATATCTAGTTGTTAAGAGGCTAGGATGCTGCTAGACAACCTATAAGAGAGCCACCCAAAAGAATTATCCAGCCCAAAATGTTAGTGGTCACAGGTTAACATACCCTGGTCTAAACTTATCTCCAATAACTTTCCAGTGTTGTAAACACATCCATACTGAATTTCTGCCTCTGCAAAACATTTCAAGCATTTGCATCCACCCTACTCTCTGACAGACCTTTCTACCTCTTCCCTGCAGGCACACACCTACCTGTTTTTCAATACTCAACCTTAAATATCATCTCTAGTATGAAACAAAGCCCAAAAGCACTTTATTTACCCTATTTATATAGTAGCCGTACACACTACAAGGTAAAACATCCATTGACTTGTCCACCTCTCTCATTCATTTATTCAAGAAATATTTATAGAGCATCTACTATGTGCCAGACAACAGGATATTGACTGACTGGCTTTAGGACACATTCCTAAAGGAAGGCCTGGTGAGGAAGGTATCCAAGTATGCAATACTCGTCCGATCATAGGGACAATGTGGACTTCACTGAAATTAAGTCTTGGGCATAGTGAGGGAGGGATACCGGAAGAAGCCTGTGAGAAAGGGAAAGGAGGAGAGATGGTAATGACAAAATATTACCAATGTTTAATAAAAACTTACACAACAAAACAAAACATTTCATGAATGAACGAAGAAGAGGAAGTCAAGGAAACTACAAACTGCAAGATCCCAAAGGGTAAAGACTGTGTATGTCTTGTTCATTGCCAAGTCCTCAGCATCTGGCACATAGTAGGTACTCATATATCTCTAGAAAAATAAATGGAATAAATGAAGTTAAGAGATGGAGATATGGCTGGAAAGAAAAGGAGACTAAGAAATGATACCAAGTGAGATTTCAACATGTGGTCAGAATATCCCATGCATCATGGAGGTCAAATTGGATAAGGGCTAAATCACGTGCTGGGTTTAAAAGTCAGGAGGTTACTAATGATTTTAACAAAGGACATTTCAGTAACCTGGTAAGACTGAGAGCAAGATAATAGTGAACTAAATAGTGAAAAGGAAGGTAAAACATAATAAATATGGAACATTCACCATCAGAGAAAGCAAAACTTAAGTGAAAGCTAATAGATAAATAGAAAAATTGGCCTGAAACTTGAAGGACACTTCATTTCTGAGATAGAAGGAAAAGAGGTTACTTAAGATGGCATAAGTGGGTAGATACATTTACAGGAAAAAGGAGGAAAACCAAAGGTGCTCAGAGGCAGTGGCTATTTTCCTTCTGCACAAATGAATTAACAAGGACCCACTATACCTGGCAAGATGGAGTTAAATACACACAGGACCAGAACACGAGCACTGAAGGGCTCCTGTTTGATATTCTGAAACAAGGGGGCGCAGAGCCTTTCAAAGATGTAGTACACATAAAATAGACAGCCAAAAACCTGAAACAAAACAAAGATGATTAGAAAATTGATGACTTAATGAGAAAAAATAAAGCTTATGTTTCTGTTCCAAAAGACCCTTAAACCAATGCGACACTTAAACCAATGTTTCATATATATTTCAGTTAGCCCTGGTATATAAGATTACTATGCTGGGTGAGGTGGTGCACACCTATAATCCCGACTACTCAGGACTACAAGGTTGAGGCCACCCAGACAATTTAAGAGAAACCCTGTCTCAAAATAAAATAAAATAAAAACTGGTGTGTAACACAGAGGTGGGCATTTGCCTAGAACATGAGAGGCCCTGGATTCCATCTCTAGTACCACCAAAACAAATAGCAAACAGGTACTCAAGCTTAGTCTCTACCATAATTTTTATTAACCTTTACCAAATGACATTTTTTTGATACTTCTTTTAGTTGAGATGGACACAATACCTTTACTTTATTGTTCTGTGGTGCTGAGGATTGAACCCAGTGCCTTACACATGCAAGGCAGGTGCTCTACCACTGAGCTACAACCTCAGTCTCTGACATTTTAAAAGATCATCTAAGAACTGTTTTTCCTACTACATGAAGCCTAAACAAAAGAATAAATAAATGGGTATTAGAAACAATTTAAATGGGATCTTCTGGGATTTATGATTTTCACAATGGAGTGGGAATGGAGTGAAGGACCATACCCACAAACATATCTCCCCACCCCAAAGTACAGAGAGGGGAAAATTAACATAGATGCTTACTGAAATAACCAAACAGAATTACTTCAATTAAAATAATTTCTCTTCCTGAAGAAAATTATCTTTGATGTTGGCAAAAAAAAATACTACATATTTGTTTTAAAAGATTTCATAGTCTCAATAGAAAGCATTCTCAAGCTCCTCATTGACACACATTTACCATTTTGAATAGATTACATTATAATAAATATGAATCCCCATTTTCCAATCAACACACCTTAGGCAATTAAACAATTTACCTGTGCAAACTGCATAGCAACATAACCCCATCTCACAGTGGGAGTTCTAAAGAAAGAAGAAACAAAATAAGTTTTCTAAAGTATGTAACTGAATTTAAAGAATGACCTTCACAATTAGTATTTTTCCACACAGAGTAACATTTATGGGCTGGGGGAGTAGCTCAGTGGTACAGCACATGCTTAGTTTGCATCCCTAGCACCAAAACAAACAAACAAAAAAATTACTTAGTATCATTTATGATCATACAAAATTATAATTCTTCCAAGAATTAATATTACCAAGTTAGACTGCTGGAATGACCATTTAAGGCTTCCCATATCAGAGAAAAAAATGAGGATACTTTCTATTATCTCTGTACCCCTACATGACCTGGCCTCTGCCTACCTACCCATCTCACTCCTCTATACCTCCAGTGCTCACCACAGTTCTACTTCATAATGCTATTACCTGGGATAGCTGTCACGGTAGATAAGGGTAGGAGCAAACAAGAAGTACAAGTACTGGTTGACTGTGGGTATTGGAATCATGCCTAGAAAAGAAAAAACAGTATTAGATCAGAGGCTCTTTGATTTCTCCCAGCAAAACTAAAAGGGGGAAATAAGGAAGTACAGGACAAAGAAAAACATGACCTCTAAGCTCATGTTATTTCCTCTTGGTCTCCTAAAACAACCTATTCTTGCATTAACTGAACATTATCAATCTAAGTTATTCCTGTGACTGAGATAATTTCCAGAGTGTGAAGCACTCTTGGTGCTTGGTAATCATTAGACTCTTCTGTAATTTCGCATTGTGAACTGTTATCAGCAGTAGGCACAGTTGTTAATGAGGCTAGTAACAGTCCACAATAAGAAGTTACAGAAGAGTCTAATGATCAATTTTTTTTTTAATTGTAGGTACAAGGACAATCAGTAAACAGTCTTCCAAATCAGCCACTGATCGATGTATTTAAAAATAAGTATCATCTCTACAGAATGTAACATGTCTTCCTAGTGAAAACTAAAGGCTGAAATATCCTATAACTCTAATGGAATTACATACTCGACTTCTCCTTAGCTGCATGCAGTACCCGTGGCACATTCTCTCTGACAAATGAGTGAGCCTTCATTATCAAACGAATCTACAAAAGGAAGAGGGAAAAGATGAATTTTCTATCATTGCCTTATCTCCTATAAGCAACCCCAGAACTAGATTATATTGACACTAATGAACTTCACTTTTATGGAATAAAGCAAATTAAAAAAACAAACCCTAAAGGACATGTAATTACTCAAATTATTCTGTACCTAACAGCATTATTAATATAAATATTATAATAATCTAAATTAAGAAATTAAGTCTGTTCAAGATGGAGGTAGTGGTGCATGCTATAATCCCAGTGACTCAGGAGGCTGAAGCAAAAGGATCTCCATCTAGGCTCAGCAACTTAGCGAGACCTTATCTCAAAATTAAAAGTAAAAGGGTCTGGGTAGCTTAGTGGTAGAGTGCCCCTGGGTTCAATCTCCAATACAAAAAAAAAAAGAAAAAAAAAGAAATCAAGTCTGTTCAAAGAAATTCTGAATTGGTCTTTATTAGTCAAATAGTGCTACAGACAATATATGTTAGAAAATTCTAAAGGATATATTAAAAAATTGAGATAAGGGCTGGGGCTGTAGCTCAGTGATAGAGCGCCTGCCTCGCACTTGTGAGGCACTAGGTTCAATCCTCAGGACCACAGAAAAATAAATAAAGATATTGTGTCCATCTAAAACTAAAATAAATAAATAAAATAAAAATAAAAATTGAGATAAATCTCTTACTTAGAAGGAAATAGTTACATGACAATACAATGAGTTTTATTTTTTATACCTTTATTTTATTTATTTATTTATTTATTTTAATTTTTTTTAATATTTATTTTTTAGTTATCGGAGGACACAACATCTCTGTTTTGTATGTGGTGCTGAGGATCGAACCCGGGCCGCACGCATGCCAGGCGAGCGCGCTACCGCTTGAGCCACATCCCCAGCCCATTTATTTTTATGTGATGCTGATGCTCGAACCCAGGGCCTCACACATGCTAAGTGAGCACTCTACCGCCGAGCCACAGCCCCAGCCCAAAAGTGGAGTTTTAAATTACAAAGATATTTAATCATCTAGATGATTTTTACAAAAAGTATTTGGGGGAAAAAATTTAATTCATCCAGAACTGTTCAATATAATTTATTTCAATTACTAACATCCAGAGAACACTGGAGCTAGAATGAATTTTAAAAGATAAGATGATATGCCAGGAACGGTAGTGCACACCTATAATCCTAGTGACTCGGGAGGCTGAGGCAGGAGGATCATAAGTTCAAAGCTAGTCTCAGCAAAGCGAGGCTCTAAGCAATTAACTGAGACCCTCAGTTAAAATACAAAATAGGGCTGGGGATGTGACCCAGTGATCGAGCACCTCCGAGTTCAATCCCCAGTCCCCCTCCAAAAAAAAAAAAAAAGATGAGATAATATAGTTCAGCACTTAAATTCTACATCTCCTGGCACACAGTGCCATATATGAAAACTTACCCACGTTAATACAGCTAAAAATAATACCACTATTATGTCATTATTGTTATTATTATTTAACTAAGCACAGCACCCTTTTGGGTAACACTAAAAATCTTACCTGTTCAAGTATAACAATGAACCGAGAAGCTGGTGGTAGTGTATATGCTAATACAACATATGTTGGTCCAAACCCTAGAATTCCAAGCTGGAAGACCATAAAAATCAAGCCATGGACAAGAGAATAGATCACTGGATGAGAACTCCTGCTGTAGCCATCGGCCCAATGTTGAAACAGGAAATAGGGAATTGAAAGCGTACACAGGAACATGATACACCATGTCCAAACAACAGTAGGAAATTTACCAAAAGCATAAGACAGGAGATTGAACTCAAGTACAAGCCTGGAGAGGAAAAAGCAGAGAGGAAAAATAGAGAAGTTAGTTTCTAATATGTACAGAATTCAAAACTTTCAGACCCCAAACTTTCAATCCTCATAAACAATACAATATTAATACACTGAACATAATTACACTGGATATAATGGCTCACTGGACAGAGACCTGTGTCTAACCCTCTCTCTGCTTCACAACATATCAACAACAAACTCTCTAAAAGCCCTATTTGGCTATGAACTCAAGATACCTAAGGTGATACTTCTGAAAGATCAGATTCTTACATTAGTATTTTAAAACCAAAATATTAAGTGGCAAAATATTCAATAACAATTATTTTTATGTACAAAAGATGATTTTTCAGAAGGAAATAGGTATGATTCAAAAGACTACTAATATACTATTTTACCATTATTTCAAAATTGAATTTTTAAAAAAAGCATGCACATTCAATCTATGACTACCACACTGCTATTTTTTAAGTTACATTCAATATTTATTTAGTTTGTTTGTATACTGGGGATTGAACACACATAGTAAAGACTTTTCTTTTAAAGTAGTTTAGAAGATAATTCACCTTTCAAAAACATCTCAAAATATTAATCCTGACCTACACCTCCAGCCATTTCTATTTATTTATATTTTTGAGACACTGTCTAAAATACTTGTGATTCTCCTGCCTCAGCCTCTTGAGTAGCTTGGGTAACAGGTGTGCACCACTGCACCCCCTTACACTTGATTTTTTTTTTCAATAAATATTTTTTAATTGTTGATGAACCTTTTTTATTTATTTATATGTGGTGCTGAGAATTAAACCCAGTGCCTCACATATGCTAGGCAAGTGCTCTACCACAGAGCCACAACCCTAGCCCAACACTTGATTTTTATATTAAGGGGCTGGGGTTGTGGCTCAGTGGTAGAGTGCCTGGTGTGCACCAGGCCCTGGGTTCAACCCCCAGCACCAACAACAACAACAAAAAAGGAAACAGAAAGCTACCTATTTTTAGCAACAGTCTTAAATATGCACCTTAGAACACTGATAAATCATACATACAAAAATCTCCTCCTGTTTGGGAAAGTTGCCTAGTCCTTTTTTTCTTTTTCTTTTTTTGGTGGTGGTGCCAGGGATTGAACCCAGAGTTTGTGCATGTGAGGCAGGCACTCTACCAACCGAGTTATATCCCAATCCCCAGGGAAAGTTGTCTAGTAATTATTGATCGTGGTCTATTAAAATTGAGTACTTTTAAAATAAAAGCAAAGAAACTTCCAACCTTCTCTTTAGTTATACTTTTCAGGAGAAAGGAATATCATCCTCTTTTTAGCCAAACTATCCTTTACTAAAATATAGTGATAACTCCCAACTTCTCATACATCAACTAGCAACTTTCTTCTCTTACCTTCCTTCATCGATGTAATCTACCACAAGTGTGCTGAGGATAAAAAGAATGAGGAGGGCAATAAACATGTGATATATTGTTCTGATGTGGTCCACTTCAAACAGCTCACTGTAAGTGTAGTTCAAACAAATCAAATTAGAAATCTGTACCTAATTTTAAAATACCACATAGTAAAGACTTTTCTTTTAAAGTACGTTTAGAAGACACTTAATTCACCTTTCAAAAATACCTCAAAATATTAATCCTGAAGTACAGTACAGAGACAATGAATGATCAGACCAAGGTAAAACTATAATGGATTCTCAACCTTTCTTTCCAATAAAATTATATTGCCTTCTAGAAAGCAACATGATGCCAAATCTTTAAACAAATGGTCTGCATTCCACAACACCCACCAGAAATGACTGTTTTCCATTATAAGCAGAGTCCATTCACTGAAAATGGGGAGTTTGGAAACAACTACACTTAGCTCCCCACATCACCTATTCCGGATGTTCAACCTGACACATCTGAGCTCCTTTGCTGCTGCTGCTGCTGCTGCTGACCACCGACCACCTGCACATTCATGACACTTAATCACTTAACAGACGCTTCACCCTTTCTCTTCACTAATATTTAAAACTTTTTCTTTTAAAATGGCAATACCTTCTAGATGACTTATCCCCAGTAAATACCTTTTATATCTGACTAAAAGCAAGCATTTAACCTTATTTATAGAAAGTGGCAAGTTAACCTTTCTCTACTGACTTTTAGAGAAATCTAAATACTATTAAATCTCTAGAATAAGGATCTTCAAATTCTAATAAAAATCCACCTGAGCCATGGAAAAATGTATTCTATTTCCTTGATTAACATTCTTTTTTGTTAAGGTGCATTTTATTTTTTTTCCCATAGAGTACATACAATCCTAACATTAAAATCATAATTACAATGTTCAAAGCAATCATTTTATTTTCCCTTTACGTGAAAAGCCTGTATTTCCCCCTAGATATAATTTTTTTCTTTTTTTGACACAGAGGATTGAACTCAGTGGTACTTGATCACTAAGTCACATCCCCAGCCCATTTTTGTATTTTATTTAGAGACAGGATCTCACCAAGTTGCTTAGGGCCTCACTAAATTGCTGAGGCTGGCTTTGAACTCATGATTCTCCTGTCTCAGCCTCCCAAGCCGCTGGGATTACAGGTGTGCACCACTGCGCCCAGCTCCCCCAGATATCATTTAAAAGATCAATCTTGTCAAATCATCATGTCACAAAACCCACTGAAACTGAATTTTTCATTACATGTTTAAAAAAACTCTAGCCTTCTTGTTGAAGTTAAAAGGTACAGATCAATTTGGTTCATGATTTTTCCCCTCCAGCAATGGGGATTGAACACATGGGTAGTGCTTTACCACTGAGTTACATCACCAACCCTTATTTATTTATTCTGAGACAAGGTCTCCCTAAGTTGCCCACTCTGTCTTCAAACTTTTCTTGCTCCTGCCTTAGTCTCTCGAGTAACTGGGATTACTGGCATGTACCTCTGCCCCATAAAGTAAATTTTGATGAGTGTAAGGTACATGTTATTGTTTAGATATGAAGTATACCCTAAAGACTCATGTGTTGAAGGCTTGGTCCCCAATACACCCTATTCAGAGGTGAGGATTCTGGGAAGTAATTGAATCATGAGGGCTCTGACCTTATCAGTAGATTAATCCATTAGAAGGATACATATCTGATGGTATTATTGGAAAGTGGTGGAAAATTTAGGCAGTGGGACCTAGTTGGAGAAAGTAGGTCACTAGGGGCATGCCCTAAAAGGGTATATCTTGTCCCGGGCCTCTTCCTCATTCTCCCTCTGCTTCCCAACTGTCATGAGAGGAGCAGCTTTGCTTTGCCGTGCCCTTCCACATTGACGTTCCTGTCTTGGAGCCAGCCAGCAATGCACTGGCACCTCTGAAACCGTGAGCCAAAATAAATCTTTCCTCCTCTAAGCTGTTTTTCTCAGGTATTTGACACTATAAAAGGCTGATTAACACAGTGCATTTACAAAATAACTATCTCAATGATCTACACAGATTAAATTTCAGCAGTATTTTAATTTCAGCAGTATTATATTTGCTATTACTGAATGAGTAAACAATATACTCAGCATAAAAGAAAAATATTCATCACCTACTCAAAATGCACCTTTAATTTTCAGTTCACAAATGAAGTCACCATAATGAATTTACATGGTATAGATTCTATTTTAAAGGCATTAGGCAATCAAAGTTTTAAAATAAATGAGAAAATTACCAAGTCTTCCAGCAAAAAAGAGAGGAGGCATTTAATTCCAAAACTAAAAGTCTACCTACATTACAAAACTTGTCACTCTATCCCTTGTCCTTGTGAAACTAAATCCAAAACCAGAAGATCAGCAAGAAGGAGGAAGAGAACCCAATGTACAAAGAGAAGAATCAAAACTAATGACTTATATGGATATAGAAAGACTCATTAAATATTTATAGATTAAGCAATCTACAATCAGGAGACTCACTCAGGGCAGCTTTTTAGAAAATTCAAACTAATGATTAACAAAAGCAAAAACTACTCACTCTAAAAGTGATCTCCTTGCAATAAAAATTTTTCCTTGTTCTGGAGGTGCTCTGAAATCTCTGGAAAAAGCAAAAAATACAATAAAATAAGTAACCCAAATATTATAAGAAACATAATCCCATGGACAAGAGAAATGATATTAACTACAACAACCAACATTAATTACCCTTCACTATGATCTGGGTACTGTGTTAAAGATTCTGTGCATGTTATCTCAGTTACTCCTACGGAACAATTTGTGAAGGTGGGTACATGCGTAACTGTTTAGGTTGGGAGAGATGTCAGACACACCTAAGTGCAGCACCCAGCCCCTGTGGAAAAGCATTCTCTGCAGCACAGGTTGGCAACCATTCTTCCTGTTTCTAGAGAGTCTTTGAGATCAGGGACAGGCCTGCAGCCATACTTTACTCCAGGTCAGATATTGTTACTAGTTTGTCTTCCCAATTTCAATGAACAACATATGTTTATTTTATATGTTTATACATGGTGCTGAGGATCGAACCCAGTGTCTCACACATGCTAGGCAAGTGCTCTGCCACTGAGCTATAGCCCCAGCCCCATAAAGACATATTGTATAGAGTACAATGGCAAGGCATGAAATAATGTGGTTAAGAGCAAGGACTGGTGCAGACTATGGGTCGAATCCCTGCTGTTTAATCTTGAATATCATTTAAGTGCTTTGTGCTTCAGTTTCCTAAGTTGTAATATGCAGACAGTTATAATATCTATTCAGAGGGACACTATTCGGTTTAAATAAGTTATTCCATGTAGAGCACTCAACTATTATTAGTCAGTAGTCTTCAGGTATGTATGTGTTATAATTCACACCCTAAGAAGGAAAAACCTGCCCTTCAAGGGATTAAGTAATGTACCCAATGCAACATAGAGTCAATTGAAGTGATGGCAGGGCATGAATCCAGGCGTTTTTACCGCAGTCTATACTCTGACCACTGAGATTCGCCAGAGTAGATATCTGCATTCAAAGAAAATAACTAACACTTACTTAGCTCTGTGGTTGTTTTTCATTTCTTCAAGAATGGAAAAAGTTGTGAGGGCGCAGCCACCATTGTCTAATGATGCAGATTTTTCAATGAGATTGGTCACAAAATCATCAAAGTGACTGCCAACTTCCTTCATAAAAAGTGGCTTTAATTCCTAGAATTTTAATACACATGAAGAAAAATAAGAAACTAACATATACATGTGGGTTATTAATGTTTTTCTAAAGGGCTCTCTTAAACAGAGCTGGTTCAGGAGAAAGACATACTAAGTAAATGAATTCACAGGAGTCAAAGCAGAAAAATAATTTCTATAACTGACTTGTAGTTCCAGAAATGTCTACTGAAAAAGCAATACAGTGATTTTACACTCTTTGTTAAGTGTATTCTCCTTTTGAGCACAAATTAAGATACCAAAGATACTAAATAAAATCCTACAAATGATACACAAAACCAAAATTACAGAATGAAGAAAATGAGGCTATTCCTTTCTCTTCACATTCTTATTTAGAAAACAAAGTTTTTATATTGTAGCCCCGTTACATAATTACCATAAATTTAAGTCTTTCTTCTAAAGCAATCCCTTTACCCCAAGTACTCACCATTTATATTTCATAGCATGTCATTCTACATCATATCTACATTTACATGATGCTCATTCCTAACTCCAAACTATGTATTTTTCTAACCACAATACATGTACATGTATGTGAACATATTTATGTTAGCTCACCATTACACTCAGATGAATTACACCCTTTGCTCTGATCTAACAATGAGGAAAGAAATTAAATAAAGGACTAATGGTGCAGTGAATGCCACAAAGAAAGGACAGTTCAGAGTGACAGGAAAACAAAAAGAAGACAGAATACAGAAGAGAAGAAATCACTGGGTAGTGTGAGGACTGATGGAAGGAGGAAGGTTTCAAGTGTCCTTGTACGTTTCTTTCACACCCTCACACCCAACACCTCAGACAATGATATCTCTTAGCTAGGCTGAGCTTGTAAGGTTTCTCTTTTACCAGGATTAATTCTTGTCCTTTTCTTCCTGCAGTAAAATTTACTGGTAGGTAGTTCAGAAATGCAAGATGACCATTTAAATCTACCACATTCCTGTATAATTAGGTGCCTACTGCTCATTTCTTAAGGCCTTTCTTCTCTTTCTCTGAGGAACTAAAAGTTGGTAAAAGATGCTGCCAAAGGGACAACCAGAAATATCTTTATGGCTGAGGACACCATTATATTTCCTTAATCCTTAGAGCCTAGTAGTGAAGGTAATAAAGAATCACTGCTTGTTACTGTCACTCACTTTGTAGGATGGAATGCAGAACAATACAGTACAAGCAGTGTCCATTTTGCCTTCTTCTAAGTTCAGTCACATGAAATTTGTTAATTAAAACTTCAGTATGTGATCACAAGATGGGCATGTTGGCGCATACCCGTAATCCCAGCAGCACAGGAGGCTGAGACAGGAGGATTGCAAGTTCACAGCAGCCTCAGCAAATTTAGCAAGGCTCTAAGCAACTCATTGAGACCCTGTGTCAAAATTTTCAAAAATACAAAAAAAAAAAAAAAAAAAAAAAAAGGGTTGGGGATGTGGCTCAGTGGTCAAGGGCTTCTGAATCCCTGGTAATCCACTGCCCCCCCCCCCCAAAAGTGATCTCAATAAATCTGAGCAATGTCTAATACAAGTAATCTAAAAAGGATGAGGTTATAGGCTTTCTGATTTACTGAACTCTTATCTAGTCCTATTTATTTCTTTCAGTCAATAGACCATGATAGCCCCAGTACCAAGATGGAGGAAGGAAGAGAGTTAACTAGAAATCAGAAAAGGTGGTGCTTAGATAATCTTGTAAACAGAATCACTATTTGGAGTTTAAAGAAAGCCGATTTTTTATTTTTCCAGTGCTAGAGATCAAACCCAGGGCCTCACACATGGGAGGCAAGTGAACCACCACTGAACTATACCCTCAGTCCAAAACATTTTATTTTAAATAAGCAGATGAACTAGATAGCCTTTATGATAAGAGGGAATGACAACCATGAAGCAAAGACCCTATGGTAAGAATACATAATAAAGATACCAGTGATCAGAGAGAAGACTGGGAAAAAAAGACGGGACTAGACTACAACAGACTTTTTTGCCATTTTAAGAATTTTTAACTTTATCTTGAGGACAACTGCAAGCCAATGACATTTTAAGCACACTTATAAACATGTCCTGGATGTGCAATTTAGAAAGATAAGTCCTTCTAAAAAGACTTCCAAGCAGAGATTTCTTTGGACTGAGTCTTAAAGTAAGAAAAGGGCAGGTCATTTATAGATAAATAAAATAACCCTTTCAAAGGTACAGAGGCATGAAAAATTTAAAAGTAGGCTGAGAGAGAAATACATAATAGAATTTTCAGTTTCTCAAAAAAATTAGGTTACTTGATCACAATTTCTTTAATATGACTCCACACGGTCATATTACTAGCCTTTGAATTTTTTGACTCACTGCCTGGCTTTGCACAGAGAACCTTTCAACCTTACTATGGCTGGGAACCAGAAACCTGACCTTTCTGGGCAAAACTAGTAGCACAAGGGCACAGTTAACACAAGGTTTTAGGTCTTATTCTATGCTGACGGCTCAGAAAGGTCTCCCCTGATGATTCACTCTGAAGTTCTTTATATTGTTCTTTCTTCTCACATATCATTATTTTCATTTTTCTGAATACCGTTTAAAATTCTGTATATTTCTACTTTTGGGCCTCTTCCTATTTGTCTCCCCAACTGACTTAAATACATATTTTTGTGAACTGTATGTCCAGCAATCAGCAAAGGAATTGGCAGGTGACTTTGTAATTTCTAAACAGTTTTTAGAACCAACCTGGCAGCAAAATTCCTACTTACTCCTTTGCTGGCTTAATTCAATTTTTAGTATAAAGTACACAGAAAGTAGTTATTTAAAAAAAAAAAAATATTTATTTTTTAGTTGGTGGACACAAATATCTTTATTTCATTTTTATGTGGTTCTGAGGATCAAATCTAGTGCCTCAGGCGTGCTAGGTGAGCACTCTACCTTGAGCCACAACCCTAGCCCAGATAGTAGTTATTTTAAAAGCTATCTAGTCTTGATTTCTTTCGAGAAGCTAAGAAAAGTACTAAAAATCATCACTGTTATTGCTCATTAACAGCTATCATTTTTTATTGGATGATTGCTATATTCTTGATCTCTGTTAAGGGGCTCTTATGTGTTATTTCTAGTCTTAAAACAATCTTTGAGTAACCATTATAATTCCTATTTTACGCATGGGGGACCCAGGCTTAAAAAAGTCAAGTAGAGATCTAGTAAGCTGTAGAACAGGGATCAGAACCCAGGTCTGTATCACCCCACAGTTCATATGACACCATATTGCTTCAGCTGTACAATCTGAAATAGGTTCCATGCAATTAGTACCATAAACCCAAAAAACAAAAATAAACAGCTAAGAGAAAAAAAAAATCACTGATATACCTAACGTGAAAATGGTCAGATATCTAATAAAAAGTATAGTCTTGGGCTTGGCTTGTGGCTCAGTGGCTGAATGCTTGCCTTGTACATGTGAGGCCCTGGGTTCGATCCTCAGGACTATATACAAATAAAAAATAAAGGTATTATGTCCATCTACAAGTAAAAAAATATTTTTTAAAAAAGGTACAGTCTTGTTTAGCTCAGTTCTACTGCAGACATTTCATTTGAAAACATCATTATAGAAATGGTTTATACTAAGCAGTGCATTGTAATAAACTCCTATTTTTTCAACAAAGTGCTTGGAAATTATCCCGAAAATAACTATTACATAACCCTTGATACAAGAGGCTAATGGTTCAGGATAAACCAGCAATAAAATTAGGTCCCTGAATTATATAATTATAAGCCCTTTGCATTAGCACACCTATAATCCCAGCTACTTGGGAGGCTAAGTAGTGGAGCACTTCAAAACCAGACTGGGCAACATAGCAAGTTAAGTGCCCCTGAGTTTAATCACCAGTACCAAAAAAAAAGAAGAGAAAAGAAAGGAAGGAACGAACAAAGGAAGGAAGGAAGGAAAGAAAGAAAGAAAGAAAAGGAAAATATACAAACTAAGCATATATATATTCAATCTAGCTTTGCTGACATACTTATACATACATACATGTGCCAATGTATATCTACACAGATCCATATGTTATGACAGAAAAAGGAAAATGAATTATCAGGAGGAAATGAACCAAAATATTGTCTCCTGGTGGGGATGGGCATTGAAGTAGTAACTATTTTCTTTTTTTAATTGCAGATGGACACAATATCCAATACCTTTATTTTGTTTATTTAGTTTTATGTTATGCTGGGGATAAAACCCAGAGCCTCACACATGCTAGGCAAATGCTCTACCACTGAGCCACAACCCCAGCACCCACACTTTTTTGAAATGATTTTTTCTGCAATGAGCCTATACTACTTCTATATTTGTTTTGTACAGTTTTTGTTTTTTGTGGTGCTGGGGATTGAACCCAGGGCCTTGTGCATGCGAGGCAAGCACTCTACCAACTGAGCTATATCCACTGCCCCTACTTCTATATTGGGGGACTATGTAAGTAAACATGTTCCCCCTGCTCTTAAAGCAATATTACATAAATATTACATAAATCTATCACATGTTGTATGATAGCACAGCAGTAAAACAAACTCTTAAATCTTGGGCATTTTTTTTCCAAAGAATGTATTTTATCTAATCTAAGATGCCCCTGATTTTTGTGTGGCATGAAGAAAGAAAAGTTTCCTGCTGGGCTAGGGTTGTGGCTCAGTGGTAGAGCACTTGCCTAGCATGTGTGAGGCACTGCCTAGTGTGTGTGAGGTGCTGGATTCGATGCTCAGCACCACATATGAATAAATAAAAATAAAGGTATTGTGTCCACCTACAATTAAAAAACAAATTAATAAATAAAGGTATTATGTCCATCTATTAAAAAAAATTTCTAGCTGAACCACACAACACAGTGCCTTCCTCACAGTGTATAATATATGTGTTCTACTTGAAGAGATATTAAGTAAGCAATTTGGAAGGGAGTATTCCTCAATCAGTGATATGCAGATTATCATCACTTAATCAGTTTAGATATTCTAGATTCACATTAACCATAAAATAGAGGAGCA